ATGCGCGTTTGAAGAGCCCTTATGATCGAAGCGCAAGTTTGGAGGAGCGTAAAAAGTGAATCCAGAATCCAAGTTTAGCGCATTTTCTTTGGACATGGAGTTTCGACCTTAAGAAAGACTAGGAATACATATCAATTGTTTTGCTAGAGTGGTTTGGAAGTTGTGAGCTTTTTGCCAACCGCTTGCGCTTTTTGAGCGTTTTGTCATTTCAGACTTTAGTTTGCCGGTTTTTCAAAAAACAACAGAAGCTTGCATTTAAATCAAATTTCATCTACTTAAAGCCGCAGTCTTTATTAAGATTTTCTTAAAAATTTCAATAGCCTGCATGGTCTGCTTTGGGAGTTGCAATTTTTTATGCATCCTGATGCGCGTTTGAAGAGCCCTTATGATCGAAGCGCAAGTTTGGAGGAGCGTAAAAAGTGAACCCAGAATCCAAGTTTAACGGATTTCTTTTGTGCATTCAGTCTTGACCTTGCGAAATATTGGGAAAAAATATTAATTGTCTTGCGCGAGTGGTTTGGAAGTTGTGAGCTTTTTCCCAACCGCTTGCCCTTTTTGAGCGTTTTGTCATTTCAGACTTTAATTTGTCGGTTTTTCAAAAAACAACGGAAGTTTGCATTTAAATCAAATTTCATCTACTTAAAGCCGCAGTCTTTTTTAACATTCTGTTAAAAATTTCAATAGCCTGCATGGCCTGCTTTGGGAGTCGCAATTTTTTTTGCATCCTGATGCGCGTTTGAAGCGCCCTTATGATCTAGGCTCAAGTTTGGAGGAGCGTAAAAAGTGAACCCAGAATCCAAGTTTAACGCATTTTTTTGGACATGGAGTTTCGACCTTAAGAAATACTAGGAAAACATATCAATCGTTTTGCTCGAGTGGTTTGGAAGTTGTGAGCTTTTTGCCAACCGCTTGCGCTTTTTGAGCGTTTTGTCATTTCAGACTTTAATTTGTCGGTTTTTCAAAAAACAACGGAAGCTTGCATTTAAATCAAATTTTATCCACTTAAAGCCACAGTCTTTAGTAACATTCGCTTAAAAATTGCAACAGCCGGCATGGCCTGCTTTGGGAGTCGCAATTTTTTTGCATCGGGATGCGCGTTTAAAGCGCCTTTATGATCGAGGCTCAAGTTTGAAGGAGCGTAAAAAGTGAACTCAGACTCCAAGTTTACTGGATTTTTTTGGACATGGAGTCTTGACCTTGCGAAATACTAGGAAAACATTGCAATTGTCCTCAGGTAGTGGTTTGGAAGTTCTGAATTTTTTAACAACTGCCTGCGCTTTATCATTTCAGACTTTAATTTGGCAGGTTTAAGAAAACAACCGAAGCTCGCATTTTTATTAACCTTTATGAAATTGAAGCTTTAGACTTTAGTAACATTCTATTAACAATTGCGACAGCCTGCATATCCTGCTTTCTGAGTCGCAAGTTTTTTGGCATCCGGATGCGCGTTTCAAGCGCCATTCTGATCGAGGCTCAAGTTTGGGGGCGCCTACAAAATCAACCGTGGTTCGTAGTTCACCGCATTTTTTTTATCATGGAGCTTTCATCTTTATTAATAGTAGGGAAAATTATTAATTTTCTTTATAGACTAGTTTGGAAGTTGTGAATTTTCTACCAATCGCCTGCGCTTTGTCAATTCAGACTTGAATTGGCCGGTTTCTGCAAAAAACACCGGAAGCGCGCATTTAAATGAAATTGATGAAGCTTCATCCTTTGTTAACACTTCGTGAAAATTGCAACTGTTTGCATAGCTTTGCGAGTCGCAATTTTTTTGCATCCCTTTTAGTCGAGCCTCAAGTATGGAGGCGCGTAAAAATACAACCAAAAATCGAATTACACCGAAATTTATTTAAAACGGAGCCTGCATCTTCACCAACACCTGAAAAAACTTTCAATTGTTTTGATGGATTGGTCTGAAACTTGGGAATTTTTTAACAGACGCCGGCCCTTTTCGACCGCTTTGCCATTTCAGGCGTAAAACTCAACGAAAGCTCGCATTGAAATAAAATTTCAGCAACTCGAAGCCTCAATCTTAGTAAGACGATTTCCAAAATTATCAAGTAATTCCCAACTCTCAGCCAATTAAGACCCGAAATTAATAAGAGAAAGACTGAAACCGACATTCCGGTGCCCAAAACGAAGCTCTCCCGTCCGCAAGCCCGCTCATGCATATTTATAAGTTTCAGGTGCCTATAATTCGCTCCCAATATCCCGAGGGAAATAAAAATAAAGCCCCCCCGGAAGGTCTATTGAAAGTTTACGACTCCGGTGGGATTATAGGAAAATTGTTTATTCAGCCTGAACTTTCAGTGCTTTTTCGTGTTTCTACAACAATTTAGTAGCCGTGATTATGCAAAAAAAAACAGTGAAGAAATTTACACTCTTGAGTTTAAATGGTAACTCAATCTAACGTGTTTCCCTGCCCAGCCATTAGGGCTCTGCTTGACCAGGAAAATGGAAAAGCTCGTTTCCTTTTCAACGGCCCACACAGAGCTCCTTTATAAGCTTGCTCTGTTCGGGATATTATGGGGGGTAAAAGCTGGGAGCTCAGCGTTATCAAAGGCAAAGAAAAATGTTGTTTGCACACATAAAACACTTGGCCTTTTGCCAGCGGCAGCAAAAGCAACAGTTGCAGGCAACATTTCCGTTTGGGCAACAATTCTTTATAATTCTACTAAAGAAGCACAGATTTTGGATTTTGAATGAATGTCACCAAACAATCTCCAACCGAAACTGGCTTTACCCGTTTTGCTGTGTGGATCATGCAGGGAGGAACGAGACAATTTAAGCTGGAAAACTTCGGTACTCACGCATACAACAAGTGATTTTGCAAGCAGGCAATCGGAAAACTTTCCCTCCAGTTGGCGTCAACATGATCGTACTTTTCCAGCAAACTTTTTTGCAAAACAAAATTGTACATGTCGTCGATCTGGATCGAGGTGGCGCACTACACAGCACTGATATGCTGCCGCTCTGGACTCATCCAGCTATGGATAATCAACTATCAGTGCTCCAAACAGGAACAGCGTGGACGTGAGGCTATTTTTAACCGAACGGGAAACACGGATTGGGCCCCATTTCCAATCAAATGTGCAGTTCGAGCTGGTTGAGCGCCCTTTTGATCATCAACTGGTATAGTGACGAGTTACCATTACAAAGAAGCTAAATATAGTTTATTCTCGAACGCTCGAGTTGGTTGAGATAAAAGGCCCCTTTGCATCGGGTTGAATATTCGGGCAATTTGTTTTATTCTGAATGGGAGTATTGGATATAGAGACCAACTAGTGCAGTTCAGACTAGTCAGGAAAATTGCTAAATTAAGCAAAAATACGCCAGGAATTAAAAAAAAAACCAACGGCGCGTCGTACTCTAAAGGATTATGCAGCTTGACAAATGCGCCTTTGATTATTGGCTATTTTTGCTCAGTAAATAGCTTCTGAAAACCTCGCTATCGTTCGGAATCTGAATTTTTAGCAGGTTTCAGCCCAAACTTTCCCTCCACCTGTGTAACAATTGCAAATGGGTCTCTCAATTGGTTTTGGAGCTGTGATTTTTTAGTGAGTTACGGAAATACTTCCATTTTAGGTTTAAAGGTTTGGGAAAAATCAACCAATGCTCTAATTGCATTAGTATTTTCCACCGGTTTAGATCAAATATTGCAATTTGCAGCTGTAGAATCTCATGTGGATTTTTTGCGTGGTTTGAGAGTTTAAATTTTTTTGAGCTGAACCAATTTTTGCCAGGATCTGCAAATTTCACGCCCACATTGATGGCCGTGAAAAAATCATCCTAAGCTCAAAATCCAATGAAATTTTCGGGAGGTTTAGCCAAATTCTTCCTGCAAACTGTCAAAAAATTTCAAGTTGTTCGGTCATTTGTTTTAAAAGTGGTCAATTTTTAAGCGCGCCACGCAAGTTTTAAGACTACTTCGATTTTAAGTTCGAGTTTACGGGCTTTTGAAAAATCAGCCAATTCTCTGATTTTTTAGATATTTTCTGTGATTTTAGGTCAAAGCTTTGTTTTCATACCACCAAAATTTGAAGTTGCTATTTTCAATAATTGGGAATTTTGAATTTTTCTTGAGCTGCACTGCAAGTTACTAGGATCCGGACTTTTCAGGTCCAAGTTGAACGGCTAGCGAAAAATCATCCAAAGCTCCAAATCTAAGACCAATTTTCCAGATTTGTAGCCCAAACCTACTGCCAAACGGCCAGAAAGTTGCAAGTTAGTACTTCAAATGGTTTGGGAGTTGTGATTTTGTATGCACGTGCAACGTAAGAGGAATCCTTCAATTTTAGGGCCGATCTTAAGGGCTTCTGAAAAATCAGCCCATACCCTCAACCACAATGTTCAATGGCTTCCGAAAAATCAGGCAAAGCTCCGAATCTGATTAAACTTTCCTACTTTGTAGCTCAGGCCTTCCGACTAATGGCATGAAAATTTGCAATTGCTTCATCGACTTGTTTT